GCCAAACCTAAAACAAGATAAACCCAAACCCTTTCAGTCCTGAACCCTTCACAGCCAAACCTAAAACAAGATAAACCCAAACCCTTTCAGTCCTGAACCCTCCACGGCCAAACCTAAAACAAGATAAACCCAAACCCTTTCAGTCCTGAACCCTCCACGGCCAAACCTAAAACTAGATAAACCCAAAACCTTTCTGTCCTGATCCCTCCAAGCTTCTGCATCTTCATCCTCACGAGATGCAGCTGCTAAACCCTTTCTCCGCCAGGCACCAGCCGTTGTTCCCCGTTAACTGTCGGAACTCTAACGCAGCTTCTCTCTGGCTGTTAAGGACACATCACCATCGTCAACTACCTCCTCAACTACTACCCCGCGCTCGAGGTGGACCAGCGGGACCCGCGGGGGCTGACGGCGCTGATGAAGGCTGCGGTGCAGGGCCGGGAGGACTGTGTCACCGCCCTGCTCCTGGCGGGTGAGCGCGTCCCCGGCCCTTTGGGGAAGGGCTGGCGTTGCTGCTCGGGGTGGGGTGGGGTGATGATCCTCCTGCCGGGACCCCTCTGCCTCCAGGGGCTGACCTGAAAGCGGTGGACGCCGTGAAGGGGAAGACGGCCAGGGAATGGGCAAATTTCACCGGCCGCTTCGAGACCACCGTGAGGATCCGGACCCTCCTGCGGCGCCCGCGGGCGGAGCAGTTCGGATCCCAGTACCGGCCCGAGTGGCCGGCCCTGGCCGAGCTGGTGGCCAAGGCCCTGAGCCCCAAATCCAGGAGCAGGAGGCTGCTGGAGAAGATCTGCTCCATGTTCACCTGCAGCATCCCCTGCAACCCCCAGGAGGACGGCGTGATGGACCACATGGTGAGGATGACCACGTCCCTGGCCAGCCCCTTCGTGGCCACCGCTTGCCAAACCGTCTGCCCCGACAGCCCGCCCGAGGTGGGCAAGCGCCGGCTGTCCGTGCCGGAGATCCTCGGGCAGCACGTGCCGGACCCGGACGCCGACTCGGAACTGTCCTCGCGCCCCAGCACCGGCGCGTCCTCCTGCAACGGCCAGGCCGTGACGGAGGTGCCGCCGCCGCGCCGGCCGGGCCACCGCTTCCTGCGCTTCCTGCCGCTGTGGCTGCGGCGCGGGAACAGCATCTTCCCCCTCGGGGAGCCCGTCCCCAGGATCAAAGTGAGCAAGCCCTCCGGCCCGGCCCCCGACGCCAGGGAGCAGAAGCCGCGCGTGAAGGACAAGCACCTCCTGAAGCCGCCCCAGTGGAGGTACAAGGCGCTGAAGGAGGAGAAGAGGGCGGCCGAGGAGGCCAAGGCCAACGGGGAGGAGAAGGAGAAGAAGAAGAAGAAGAAAAAGAAAAAGAAACGCTAAGGCAGGAGGTGCCGGGGTGGGGACGAGGTCCCCGCTGTCCCCTTGGACCTGCTGGCTCTTGTGGCACAGGGATGGTTTCCTTCCTGGCGGGACGGGAATGCCCAGGGGAGGAGGGTGATGTGGGCATACGCACCCAGCTGAGATGTCCCCAGTGGTCCCTTGTCCTCTCTACCTTGAGGGTGACCATCCCAGTCCAGCGCTGGTCATGCTGGGCACCGACGTGCTGAGACCCTGGCCTGGGCTCTGGGAGTGCCAGGGAGCAGGACTGTGGCACAAGTTGCTCCCTTTTCTTCCTTTTTGGTTTGTTTTTTTTCTTTTTTTTTTTTTTTTTGGCTCTTTGATCTTCCCGAGCTCTTGATTCCGCAGCGTGTGTTGGAATGTGGCTGAGCAAATTAAAATGGAAGTGGTTGCCATGTTAACAGGATTGATTCCATGAATAAAGCTCAGGGTTGCTTGTGGGGCTGGCAGGAATGCTCCCTCCTCTCTGCCAAAGCCCCCTGGCCACCCTGTCACCCCCTTGGTGACACTGCCCACTCCTGTGTGTTCCTGGGTCGTGGGTGGACACACCAAGGCTCACCAAGGGAAGCAGCTCTGTACTTTGGAGGGTGAGGGAGCTCTGGGTGCCAGGCACAGGCTGGAAACCAAACTCGGGGTGCTTGTGGGCTCCCCCTCCCTTAGGGGGACGAGAGCCCCCATTGGGGGGGGCACAGGGAGGTTTGGGCTGAGCCCCAGGCAGGGAAGGATTGCGGTGGGGAAGGAAGGAGCTGCAGCCTCCCCGTCTGTTCCCCCCCAGCCCTTGGCTCGGCCGGGCTCCCCGGCACGTGGCTGCCCTCCCTCGCCAGCTCCCGGCGACCGGCAGATGAGCCGGGGGCGGATGGCACATGGAGCAGCCGCCGCACGCGCCGCGCCAGCCTGGTTCCCGCCGCGCGGGGGGAAGGGTCAGACGGGCTCCCACCGGCCCCTCGTCCCCTCTGCCAGCGAGGGAACGGCTCAGGGAGACCCCGAGGGGCGGCTGGATGCGCCCATGGAGGGTCTGACCGCGGTGCAGGGATGCCCGTGCCCTTCCACGGGGTGAAATCGCAGCGATGGTGATGGAAAGGAGGTTGCACCACGGCTGGCGCGGGATGTCGGGTCACGGTGCTGTCGGGTGGTGCCCAGCCCTGCTGACTCACCCCGTCTGCCCCACTCAGAGCTGGCAGCGGGGCAGGAGCCTGCCAAGGGTTTGGTTTGTCCGTCGTGTCCCTTCACAGTCAGTCCCACCGTGGGGAAATCCACTTTCCCACAGCGGCAGTGCCAGAGCAACAGCCTGGCCTGGGGCTCCCCACTCATCCCTGCCCTTCAAGTCACCCGGGGTTAGGACTTAGGAAGTTTTAGAAGTTTTTAAGCAAGTGTTTATCCCCCCAGTGATGATTATGATTTAAAAATGAAGATGTCCTGTTTGGAAGACGGAGTCGTGGGGATCAAACTGGCTGGCACCCGCCCTTGCCAGAGAGCTGGCGTGCTTGGCTGCCTGGGGCAACCCCTGCCCGCAGCCATAAATTTGGGGTGCTGATGCCCACCCTGTGCCTGCTCCCATGGGGGGGGATGCAGGAGCCATCCAGGAATAACTCTGGGAGGGGCTGATCTCCAGCTGGATCACAGAGACCTGCAGAGCAGAGCAAAGATGGTCACAGAGATAAGATGTCTGCAGGCACCGGCTTCCTCCGGGGCGGCTCCTATCTGATGGAAACTGCCCGTTTCCCCCGCGCCGGCTCCGCAAAGCTCCGGGCCCGGCACACGGGCAAGGTCACCCGTGAAGGTCCTTCGTGTTTTATCCTGGTTTTGTGCTTTTGTTTGTTTGAACTTCCTAGATCACGGCCGATAGCGGGGCGAGGCGGCCGGCGAGACTCAAAGCTCCGCCGCCGCGGTGCCCCGGCACAAGGAGGCTCCGGGTGGGTTCCTGATGCAACTGGGGCTGGTGATGCAATGGGAACGGGGTGGCAAAGCAGGCCCTGGCACCTGGTTAGGAAAGAGGCTGCAATGCTGGATGGAGTCACGGTGCAGCTGGGAGAAAGGCAGGGATGGGGCTTGGGAAGGCACTGGAGGGGCAGGAGAGGATGGGAGAAGTGTGAAGCAGCTGAGATTGGGGTGGCCCAAAGAACAGCCCCGAAAGCAGCAAAAGGGGAAGCGGCGCTTCCGCCGCCCGCGGTCCCGTGTGCCCTGGGGGAGCGGGAAGTGCCCAACCTCCCGCCGTGGGAACGGTCCTGCCGGCGGCATCCCAGCGCCGGCCACCGCGGCGTCGTGTGGGAAGAGCCAGGGCCGTGCCAGCACGAGCCCCTTGGCCCAGCCAGCCTGGCTCCGTGCCCGCAGCCGGGCTCAGCATCCCCAGCGGAGCACCCCCCGATGCCACGTTGTACCCCGGGGGTGAAATCCTCCCGTGCCCCATCCCAGAGTGTTGTGTCCAACATGGAATAACCAGGGAGTCCCTTGAGGGGCTGTGGTGCTCCATCCCCACGAGGGCTGGAGGCTGGAGCAAGAGGGATGGCCAAGCATGCCGAGGTCATTCCCACGGCATCCCTCTAGAACATTCCCATCGCCACCAAAGCTGCTCTCCTACCATCGGCCTGGGGGTGCCCAGGGTAGGAGCTCTGATGACCATGTCCCCACAACGGGCTTGGGTTGGCTTTGAAAGCTGGGAAACCATGTGGGAAAGAGCCCGGTGAAGGACAAGGCGGGAGGAACGGGCGAGGGAGAGCAACCAGGATGGAGCTGGGGCCCGGTGAGCGGGAGGAAGGGAGGCCGGTCGTGGCTGTGTGCTCAGCAATAGGAAATGCTTTATTAGCTGGGAGTGGTGGAGAGAAGCCAGGCAGGAAGAGGCAGTAATAAGAAACATTTTTTTGACTTCTCCCACATCCAGACCACAGAGCTCCTGCCAAGCGGCTGCGTCGGACGACGGGGCTGCCGAGCCCCCGGGGCCGGGCCGGGAACGGCGACGTTGCCCCACCGGGACGGGCACGGCCGCAGCCGCGGGAGCTGCCCCGGTGCCGGGACGGGCAGCGGGAGGGGAGCAGACCCATGAAGCTCCTCCGAGCCGGGGTGCAGGGCACGGAGCAGAGCCGCCCCGGCTCCGAGAGTGGGACCGTGGCCGGGAGAGCCTCGCCAGGGCCGGGCAGTGCCGCGGGCGCCCGCGGGACGCCGATGCTGTAGGTGAGTGGGGAAGCACCGCGGGGTCCGGGGCTGCGCTGAGCTCAGCATTTCCCTCCTGATTTACCCCCGGGGCAGCTGAAAGCGGGATTTGCCCCCATTTCCCTCACGTTCGGCGGGACACCGGTGTCAACACCGGGGTTGGAGAAACTGGAATTGGGGTTGGGAGGGTGAATCTGGCTCCACACCAGTGTGCTGGTGACAGGATCCGTCCCCGTGTTCTTGCTGAAGAGCTGAAGTAACACGCAGCTGCAACGGAAAGGCTGGAATCAACATGGGAAATGGGGAATTTGGGTGTACTTTGAAAAGCCACAGGGAAAAATGAGGGAGAGTTGACAGCAATCCTAGCCAGGGGCTGGAGGAGGGCAGTGGGCACGGACGGCAGAGACGCTGCAGGATGTGCCACCTCCGTGTTCCCCTTTGGCACAGCCAAACCCTGGGTCTCTCAGAGGAGGGGTGGGTGAGGAAGAGCCAAACGGCTGCTGAAGAGGCTCCATCTCCAGAGCCAAGCTGGGATGAGCCTCACCACGGAGCTCTGTCCCGCTGTGGGCACAGAGCCTTCCCTGAGGCCAGGCCAGGGTCACTGCCCTCGTCCCTGCTCTGCACGAGGAGCAGGGGGCAGTGCCAGCCCCACGCTGGGGTGACCCTGGGCGGGTTTTGCTGCTCTCTGCGTGTGTCTCACGTTCATGGAACAGCAATGCCCGTCAGGGAGAGGGGCTGGGGTGGCTCAGCCCCTCCAGTGCAGCTCCCTGAGCTGAGCATCCCCCCTGCACTGGATGTGCCGGAGGGTGAGCGCGGCTTTGCTGCATCCGTGACCCTCCTGCAGCCCCGGGCAGGGAGAGGAAAACCTCCCCCTGAGCCTGAAACCAGGCTGGAGCCTTGGGAGCTGTGGCAAAGCTCCTGCCGACTCCGGCAGTGTCCTTCACGCCGCCGGCAGCTGGCACATGCCTGGCTCACCCTGCTCCCCTTGGTTGGCACCGGCACTGGCACCGGCACTGGCACAAGGGGCTCGGCTGTGTCTGGCTCCCTGTGAAAAGGCAGCACAGGGAGCCGAGTCAGGAGCCACATCCTGTGTCAAACTCCCCTGGGAGCAGCAGAAACTGCAGGGGAGGGTGGAAGCACCAGGAATGTGAAGCTCAGCCGAGCCCCCCCCGTAGGACCCTAACCCTAACCCTGAACCATCCTACACATCCCAAGGGTTGTGCCCAGCCACCATTCCCTGGACTCCTGTTGCCTCCTCCTCCACCTCCATGGGGAAATTCCCCTTCCCAGGGCTGGGTCTTGCTCTGGACCCCCCGGCTGTGGTGCCCATCATTCCCAGCCGCTCCTGTTGGCTTCCACGTCCCATCCAAGAGGTTTTCACTGGGGTTTTTTCCATCTCCTGATGCTGCTACAAATCCTGAAAGATATGGCACAGATGGGGAAAGATACTCTGGATGACAGGAGAGTGCTTGAGCTGCAGTTCCTGATGACAAATGAGGAAGGTTGGGGACAGGGATGGGGGTGCAGGCTCTGATTTTATCCATTACGGAAACACTCAGGATGTTTTTCCAATGGGATGCCAGGGATGACTCTGGATTAAGGTTTGCTCTTGGTAACAACAACAAGCCATGTGATATTTCGTATACAACAAAGTTTTGGGCCCTGCCCACTTTGTGTTTCACAACAAATACCCCACAGCCATCTATGGCTTGGGATTTAATGGAAAGGGCTCCATGGAGGGAATTCACCGCCGGGGAGACTCGGCTTGACTTCAAAAAGATGCATTTTGGAGCTCTCAGAATTGCAGGGAGAAGCACAGTGCCTGGGGGCACCCTGGGCACTCGGGGAGCAGCAGCCCAGCTCCGAGGGGGTTGAGCAGCCCAGGTCCAGGGGAGTTGGGATTTTAAAGCAAAACTGATCCCAGCCCAGGTCCAGGGGAGTTGGGATTTTAAAGCAAAGCTGATCCCAGCCCAGGTCCAGGGGAGTTGGGATTTTAAAGCAAAGCTGATCCCAGCCCAGGTCCAGGGGAGTTGGGATTTTAAAGCAAAGCTGATCCCAGCCCAGGTCCAGGGGAGTTGGGATTTTAAAGCAAAGCTGATCCCAGCCCAGGTCCAGGGGAGTTGGGATTTTAAAGCAAAACTGATCCCAGCCCAGGTCCAGGGGAGTTGGGATTTTAAAACAAAGCTGATCCTGGCCCAGCCGAGGATCTGGATGGAGATCAGCCCGGCATCGCTCCCGGCACGGGGCACCCGGGACCAGACCCCGCTCCTGCCCTCCAGCCCCCGGACCTGGCACCCGGTCGCTGTTTCCTCCCCGCGAGCAACAACCAAGCGAGTTATTTCGGGGAGGAAAAGCCCGTTTTACGGCGCTGCCGGAGCCTGCCGGGGTCAGCCGCGTCTGAGCGCGCTCCCGAGGGCTGGGCTTGCGTGACTCCGCTTCCCCATCAAGGCCAGAATCTAAACAATCTTGATTCCTGTCCCGGCAGCCCTGGGCTGGGCTCTTCAATTGCAGGAAACGGAGCCTTTGGCGTGTTTATGTCGGGAACCACGAAGAATGAGCCGAGGAGGGGCCGGGAGCCCGCGGCCGCGGAGCGGGGCGGGGGGCACTGGGGGGGCTCCGCCGTGTTTGCCTTGGCAGGAATGTCCCTTTTATAAGTCAAAAAAAAAAAAGGGGGGGGAAGAGAAAAAATAGCCAAACTTCCCCCGAGGCACAGCAGGGAATTTTTGGCTGCCCCTGTCTGTGTCATTGATAAGCTCCGTGCAAAAGCCCCGCCGGGATCGAGCCCCGGACCGCGGCCAGCGGCACTGGGAGGCTCCGGTGCACGTGGTGTGAGGCCTTTGAGCTCCATCCCAAGGCCTGGATCTCGCTGAACCTGGAATCTCCAGCGGTGCCGAGCCCGTGGGGGCCGTGGTTTTACAGAGCAGGAGCCGTGGGAATGATGGGAAGTGCTGGAATACGGATCGTTGGCACAAAGGAAGGCTGTTGGGGCAGCGTGGACAGGGCAGGGTCCCGGTCCCAGTGTCATCTGTGGTGTCCGGTGCCATGGTCGGGAGGTCCCCCAGGCTCGGGAGGTCCCGGGATGTGCTCTCAGGAAGGGCTGTACCCAGGATGTCCGGAGCCAAACTCCATTGGAAGCAGCACATCCTACCTCGCTCCGCCCGCCCTCTGCCTCTCCAAGTCCCCCCTCTTCCTTCCCAAAGCCCCCCGGGGCTGGTGATGAGCCCCTCGGGGGCGCGGGGGCCGCTCTCACCGCTCCGCTCTCCGCAGGACGATGCCGTGTGGAGCCGGTGGCCGCGCGGTGCTGGCGCTGATGACTCTGTCCCTCGGCCTCGCAGCCGGTGAGTGCCAACGGGAGGGGGTGAGCGGTGGGTTAAAACAAACCCTCGGCTTTTTGGGAGCGTCTCCGCCCAAAATAACCTCCTGCAGAGGGAGCCGGGGCTCCTCGGGGACGGCGCCGTCCCCAGCGAGGGGCTGTGCCCCTGCGGGACTGTGACCCGCTCCCCAGGGAGGATCTCGGCTTAATTAATTACTTGTGGTTGATCAAGTGCTTTGCCGTCACCGGAGGGGAGACGGGGAAGGCTGGCACCACGTGCTTTAAAGAGTGCTCCTTCCCAGGGGTGATGATGATGATGATGATGATGATGATGATGGGGAGGAGCAGGAGGAGCTGCTCAGCATCCCAGGGGAGCACCAGGTGACCTGGGGGCGGATCCAGCTGGCCGTGTTTGTGCAGGGGGGACAGGGACAGTGTGGCTGTGCTGGGGAGGAGCAACAGAGTTCACTGAGGGGACAAGTCCCCACCGAGTCCCCGTCCTGCCCACGGGGCCACCAACCCCAACCCGACCTTGCCACCACCCCACAGCACTGGCACTGGGCAGCCTTTGGGGCAGGGGGATGACAGGCTCAGGAGGGGGACTGGCCACTGCCAGACATCCCCTCGCTGTCCCCTCGCCGCTGGCCGCCTGGCTGCCCTCACGCTGAACTCGCTGATTCCAGGAGGGATATTTTCTGCGCGAAAGGGCAGAGCTAAATCGGGAGTTGGGGACTGTGGCGCCCTCTGAGCTGCTCCAGCACCACAGCACAGGGAAATGCCTTCGGGGAAGTCAGGAAAAGCTCCAGGAAAGACGCCGGGTTTGGCACCCAGCTCCTGAAACACCCTCTGGGAAGGCACTGGCTGAGTTTGGGGCTTTTGATCCCATCCTGGCTCCCGGCATCCGGCTCCCACGGCTCCCACGTCCTCTGGGACCCCACGGGCAGGATGTGCCTGTGTGCTGTGAACCAGTGCATCCCAGTTAATCCCAGCTGCTGGGGCTGGATGCACAGCCCACCCAGTGCCTGTCAGGGGTGTGGGGACAGGCGACCCCCAGGTTCAGGGCTGGCACTTGGATTGTAGCTTTTCCAGGAGTTGCCAGGACGGGCTCCCTGTACTGAGCACCCACAGCCACCTTCCCCTTCTGGACCGTGACGGTCCCAGGCTGTCCACTCTCAAAATTTGGTTCAGGAGTCCCTAGGACAATGTCCCTGCCACCAAAGCCACCAGCCACCCCATCCAGGGTGGTCCCGTGGCACAACGTGCCCCCTCCTCGTGCCCGCAGACGAGCTGCTGTGCGCCTGCGACGTGCCCTTCTGCAGCCAGCCCACCTGCACGGGCAAGGTGTGCTTCGTCAGCAAGAGGAGGGAGGAGGGGACCATCACCCAGCACCGGGGCTGCTTCTCCCAGAACATCCTGGAGCACTGCAACACGCCCGTGACGGAGCAGTACGGCATGAGGTGCTGCGAGTCCCGCATGTGCAACGCCGAGCTGGAGATCTTCCTGCAAGGTGCGGGGCCACGGGGGCCAGGGGCAGAGCTGCCCACGCAGCTGGAGGTGTGGTTGGGTCTGCAGATCGTCCCTGTCCTCACTCAGCCCCTCCAGAGCCACCTTTTCCCAGGTGGGCAGGGCCAGCGAGATGCCCTCAGGTGGCCCTTAGTGGGCTGTGCCCGCAGAGCTGCCGTCCGTGGGGTTGAACCCAGTGCAGAGCCACCCTCTCCAGGTCCAAGCCCAAACCCCGAGGCCTCCACCCTCCCACGTCGAAGCCTGAGCCCCAAGACCTTCATTATCATGCTCCCATCTACCCTTTCCCCCACCCAGGAGAAGATGCCCTGGGAAAAGTGCCTTCCCTGCCCAACCTCCTCCTGATGATCTTCGTCCCGCTGCTCGCCCTCCTCGTCCTCGCGGCGCTCACGGGGCTCTTCTGCTGGAAGGTGGCCCAGCACCGCCAGAAGCAGAGTGACCTCAGCGACACCGACCTCATGCTGAAGGCATCCATGGTGGGAGACAGCACCTTAGAGGTGGGTGAGCTCCGGGAGGGACCCCGAGGTGTGGGAGGGTGGGGTGGCCTCTGTGCTGACCCCACGGTCGCCCCGGCTGTGCAGGACCTGCTGAACGACGACTGCACCACGGGCAGCGGTTCGGGGCTGCCCTTCCTCGTGCAGAGAACGGTGGCTCGGCAGATCACCCTCGTGGAGTGCGTGGGTAAGGAGCAGGGGGGGCTGCCCTGGTGCCCCAGCCGGTGCTTGGGTGATGCCACCACAACTTCAGACACAAGAGGGGGGTTGGACCCAACCAAAACCCCGTAAAGACACCGAATTCTCCCACCGTCCTGCTGCTGAGGGAGGGACAGAGAGGCTGGGTGGGTGGATGGATGTTAGCAAGGCCAATGGATGCAGCGCTGCTCCATCGGGATCCCGGTGCTCCGCGCTGGGGGTGGGCAGGGCGTGGGGGTCCGAGGGGCTGCGTGGCACAGTGCCGTGGCCGTGGCAGGTAAAGGGCGCTACGGCGAGGTGTGGCGAGGCGTGTGGCACGGGGAGAGCGTGGCCGTGAAGATCTTCTCCTCCCGCGACGAGCAGTCGTGGTTCCGCGAGACGGAGATCTACAACACCGTCCTGCTCCGGCACGACAACATCCTGGGTGAGCGGGGGGCCGGCAGGGCTGGGGGCGTGGGGGGCAACTAAGTGGGGGCTCCACGGTGCCAGCTCTTCTCCCTGCCCAGGTTTCATCGCCTCTGACATGACGTCGAGGAACTCCAGCACCCAGCTGTGGCTCATCACCCACTACCACGAGAACGGCTCCCTCTACGACTTCCTGCAGAGAACGGTCCTGGACGTGGAGACCTGCCTGGGCCTGGCCTCCTCCATCATCTGCGGCCTCGTCCACCTCCACGTGGAGATCTTCGGCACCCAGGGCAAGCCCGCCATCGCCCACCGGGACCTGAAGAGCAGGAACATCCTGGTGAAGAGCAACCGGCAGTGCTGCATCGCTGACCTGGGTGAGGTGGAGGGCTGGGGTGTGGCACCCCAGGGATGTGGGACCCCGGGGATGTGGGATCCCAGAGATGTGGCACCCCAGGGATGTGATACCCTGGGATGTGTGACCCAGGGATGTGGTACCCCAGGGATGTGGTACCCCAGGGATGTGGGACCCCAGGGATGTGGTACCCCAGGGATGTGGGACCCCAGGGATGTGGTACCCCAGGGATGTGGGACCCCAGGGATGTGGGACCCAGGGATGTGGGACCCCAGGGATGTGGGACCCCAGGGATGTGGTACCCCAGGGATGTGGGACCCCAGGGATGTGGGACCCAGGGATGTGGGACCCCAGGGATGTGGGACCCCAGGGATGTGGTACCCCAGGGATGTGGGACCCCAGGGATGTGGGACCCAGGGATGTGGGACCCCAGGGATGTGGGACCCCAGGGATGTGGTACCCCAGGGATGTGGGACCCC